CAATCTTAAGGCCGAGAGGGGTCATTCTCACCCTCTCAGGAATAAATATGACTATCTCGAGGGAGCTGAAGCTCCAATGTAGTGGAATTCATACGCTTTCGTATTGTGAGGCGTATCTCGTGCTCTGAGAAGTGTTGTATTTTTATATTATTGGACTTCTACAGTAACCACGTTATCTCTAATGTGGGTTGAGTGATAACCACCCTCCCCCCCCCCCCATTGAGCTCTCACTCCAACCCAACTTTCCCTGAGAGGGGGAGGGAGCCCCCCCCCAACAAAAATTATTGGGGGGGTGGGGACCCCACCAACCTGCAGGGGATATTACCCTGCAGATCATTGGAGTGCCAACCCACACTACAATTTTGATTGGAGTGCGGTTCCACACTCCCTTCGGAGAATGGAGTGTTGGAGTGAGTGTGCAAAGGGGGGGGGGGGAGTGTGGTTATCACTCCCCCCACATTACAGATAACGTGGTTACTGTAGAAGTCCAATAATATAAAAATACCACACTTCCCAGACCACAAGATTCGCCTCAAAATAGGAATGCCTATCCTGATTTTGTGAATCCTATGCTTACAAGACGGCTTGTCAAATGGTACAAAAATGATTTTCATAGATATGCAGCCTAACATCATACAAGACAAAATCCTGACTGCACCCCACCATGGGATTGATAATTCACATGATTCCTCAGGTTAATCTAATCCATGAGAACAACCTGGACTTTGGCGCTTCTTTTTCCCAATATCAATTTCCTGTCATCATCATGGCAAATGTATCTTGCCCTTTCTTGAGTAACACCTTTAGATAATTTAGCCATTGGACTGCTCTCAAGTGATAATGCAGCCAGAACATGATGAAAATTGTAAATAAACCAATCTTAGATAAGCATCTATCCCCAATAAAAGGTATAGTGTAGGAACTGATCCTTAACTCATCTACTATATTTGAATAATTTTCTCTATGCGAGAAATTAATCCATAAAAAGTGGTGCCAGCCACGCTCCTAGTTAATCTGAAAGTCTTGATAACTGAAAACTATTCAAATTCCAAGAATTTTTCCTTTCAGGATTTCAGTCCTGGGGTTCTTGGTGTTTTTCAACCATGAATTCTGTATCACTGAAAGAAAATGATGTGCTCAACACTCTTTTTCCATTTAAAATCAGAAGACCCAACTGTTGAGGTGGGCACAGGTTTGCGGGACTGAAAGTCACAGACCATCTGTGACAGGTGAAACAACCACTAAGACAAATCTGGTTTAGATTCAGTGAGGAAAACAAATCATGATGAAGGCTGAGGGAACTAGGTACAACTAGGTTAAAGCATACACTCAATTTGAGCATCTTAACACCAACTAGAGATCATTCGTTGGTACTTTTTGCAACACTGCCACAGATACGGTATCTGCCTGTATCTGCCATGTATCACTATGTATCTGAGCCCTAATAAAAAAAAACTATCTGACCAATCTGCTTTTATTTGCAAGGAGATTCAACAAATTTGGTTTTTGGGCCATGCAGCTTTGCAGAATTCTCCATGATACACACAGCGTAGCTTTTTGCAGGTGCCTAGTACTGCCTGGGGGGTACCCCTTGCAACCGCCTCGCACCCACCAGGCGGTGCTGGGTGCCGGTTCTTGGCAAAAAAGCAGCGGTACCCGGGTACCGCTGATGTCTAACAAACATAGGGGGGGGGGCTGCACGGGGGTTGCAGGGGCTTTACTTCTGCCCATTTAGAGCAACTCCAACGGAGCCGCGATCGGGCGTTCGGGGGCGAACTTTGACTGCCTGGAAGGCAATTTCGCGCTCCAACGGTCCCGCGGAACGACCCTGGGAACATCCCCGGGGGCGATCCAACCCGCGATCGACCTCTGACTTCCGCGGGTCACCTCCCGGCCGCGATTCCTATATCGACCCACACACAACACCGAGCACCCCACAACGATGGCCGACACCAATCCAAAATCTTCACCAAACACCCCCATGAATCAGACCTCTCACCGCCGGTAGCCCAAAACGTAATAGACTATCCGATGGCCGGCTTTCTCGGCGCGAGAATTCCCCTCGGCAGGGACAACGGGAGCAAGCACCGACTTTAAGCGGCGCAATTTAAACACAACCTGGGTTGTTCTCGTTGGTATCCAGGTCGACCGACTGTGACAGAAGGACCCAACTTCGTTGGATCACACACAGTTGAATTACCCTCCAGGAGCATGCTTGGCGCAGAAAAAACAGAGGAAAAGCCAAAGAGGATAGAAGGAAGACCATAGAAACTAAACAGACAACCCAAGATGAGAAGAGAAAACAGACTTCTGAACTTTTAAGGTTTTTGCAGGTACAGATTACTAAGAAAATTGGGTGGTTTGTAGATCGATCGTGTTGGGGAGTTGGTTGGTCCAAGGGTGGAAGAACTGCCAGTCCATTATTGGAACTGACCCGCGACCTCTGTGACATGAGGTTGCGGCCTGCGGAACTCAAGCGAGTTGCCCCCCGGACCGCTGGAGTTGCTCTTACACCTCATTTGGCGGGTAAATACCACATCATTGATTGATCACCGGACCGATGTGGTAAGCCACTCCTGAAATTTCGAGCACATCAAAAGTACAAATCACAGAGGAATCACAGGATCAAGACACCCCAGAAAGCTCCCCAGACCCCCAAACCAATCATGAATCCCCTCAAGCACAGACAACATGGATAATAATATTTCCCAGCCAGAAACTCCACACCCTTGAAACTTATTCCCCTCAAAACAATTCCATTCTTCCTCCCCCTTGTGTCTCACACTAGTAAAAATCCCCCTGATCCATGAAACAGTTATTTCCTCCTATCTCCTTCCATGGAATATTCCCCCCTTAGTTGTTCCATGCTAGTAACCTTGGGAGCATTTTCCCACTTCTTGTTTCCCCTGTCTCTATGGATAAATATTTTCCCTTGTTTCATACTCTTCATAGAATTTTCCATTTATCTTCCAACCACAAGCTGGCCACTCCCCAGAGTTTTGTATATAAGGAGCTTTGTTTTCCCTCTTCATTGGTTCCTTATCAGATCCTGCCCCAGCAATCCAGATAACTGATCACCCATTATTAGCCAGGTATTTGCCCATCAACATTTGGGATACCTTGATTTGTGAACAAGTTTATTTAGACTAGTAAACATAAGACATATTAGACATACCATTCTCAAGAAATCTCCAAAGCCACACCTTTCCTTAAGAGTCCATACTCTTATATTTTCTTGTTATCAGAGAGGCAGCCCAATAAAGCATACATCCCTCTCAAGCTCTATTCCTCCCAAGAGTAGTTCCACACCAACCGACGCTCACCAACGCTCACCCATCAAATTACTAAGACACCTCTCACCCAACCCTCACCAATCAAACAAACTACACAAGGCCTACGAGTGGTAAGCCCCCCCTTTTTTTCCCTGCCACCACCATTATTCACATTTTTTCCCCCTTTATTTTTTTATCATTTGAGCAACAAGCTGATTCACCTGCTTGTTTGCTCTTCACAGCCATACACAGATTGATCAATTGCAATCAAAACCTGCCAAAGCAAAGTGAACAATTGATAAGCGGTCCTTATTGATAGCGAAGGAAGTCTGACATGCCTTGCGGCCGTGTCCGAGCAAAGTCTGTCGCTTCTTGCTTGTCTTGGCTGTTGTATAATCACCAAGAAGAGGGAGGGAGCCAGGAGCAACCAAGCACCCTGCCATGCACCCTGCCCCCATCTGAAAGTGAACAAGCCCCAACTGACCAGCAGGATCTATGTAGGATATCACTCTCTGGTCATTTCTTCCTGTCTGCCTGTATTTTGTTTTAATTTTTCATTCAGCCTTATGTAATGTATGGTTTTTTTTTTTTTTACTGTTTCCTAAAGTGAGAGCCCAGAGGATATCTTAGCTTATAGTTCAAGATAGTGTAAACTTTACAATAAATTGTTAAATATGAACAAATGAAAAAAGTGACTTGGGACTGATGTTTTACAATAAATATGAAAAAATAGAAAAGTAAGATTCTTACAAGTAATCTTCTTCCATTTAGATGTAGATATATTACAACAGATGTGAAGAAAATGCCAAAAAAGTGACTTATGAGTGATATTTTACAATAAATATGAAAATGAATAATAATAATAAAGTGACTTGGGACTCTGGGAGTGATGTTACATGGTATCTATTTTCTTGAAAAAATCAACAGGTACCCAGGTCCAAACAAACAATCTCTAACACCAACCTTGTGCCAATGGGCAGAGAAATCTTGGAGAAGAAAATCAAACCAAGAATACTGGTAATTTCTCATCTCTCAGTTTTTGAGCCTCATCTGAAATGATTTTTTGATATCAAAAAAGTGATTGTTATAAGTTTAGGGCTAGGTGTTGGAATTATCCCAATCCGACGCTTTCCGCTTCCGCTCTGGCCTCTCTTTCTTTCTTCTCCGCACCGCGCTCTCATTCTTCTATCCGCTCCGCGCTCTGTTTCTTATATTTTCTTTTCTCTTTCTATTCTTTCTCTTTCGCTTTTCTCTCTTCCTTATTCTTCGAATCGTTCCTCCCCTATCCTATCCTCATACTCGTCTCATACATCAACCACAACTCAAGCCTCAACACCGATTCACCTCAAGACCTAACCCAAAAGTCAACCGAACATTGAACGACTTAAATACTCTCGCTCCCTCAATCCTTCACTTCTCCCCCAGGCAGTCTTACACTATCGCATCCGACGACAGTCATCAATCTTCGATCTCAATCCACAATCCCCAATCAGCCAAACTGCCCGGCATTCACCTCTACAACCCACTCTTCAACTTCCCCTTCCGACCTTGTATGCTTTTCTCCTTTCTCGTCTATCTCTTGTCTCTCTTCTCGCTCATTGAACAATCCTATCGATATCGACTCCACCTCGACTTCTATTCATATCGATCTTCACCCATTCTAATTGCTCCAACTCTCTCTCTCTCAAAATCGTCTCTTGGCTATTGCCAATTTGGTGAGAAAACAAAACTGATCTATTTTAACTCACTTCAATCGTATCTCTTATTGACCTAATTCATATCTTGTTCTTTTCTGAAAAAGCACGTACTATCTGTCTCTCTTTGATCTACTTTATCTCAGTCTGTCTGTTCTGATTCCTTTCAAACACAACTATCATGGTATGCTATTTTTTCTCCTTCTTTTTTGTTTAACATTTCATTGTTCTCTTGTCTAATTGTTTTTTCTTGTGTTTCAAGTTTTGGTTCTAGTTTCAATTATAAAACCTGTTTTTCTTCACTAGGACATGAATGTAAAAGGTCTTTGATTTTGCAAAGAATATAGCTAGCTGGACACAAATGGAATTTGGACTTATCTTGAAAAAAATGAAGAGATATCTATCCATTTATAAGAATCATTTGAGCATAATAAGCCTAGCAACCAAGCAAACCATCTTGAGAAAATGGGACCAAGTTTTCTAATAAAGTGACTAAGGTGGGAAGATGACCTTGGAAGGACTAATGAGTCTGATGATGTCATCAATTCTTTTATCAAGCTGGTGTACAGTTGCACAAGGCATCTTACTGTACAGACCTGACTGCAAAATAAAACTTCATGTGCGGGCCTGATGTTTACATGCATGCATGCTAGGTAAGACATGTAGATGATGCAATTGGGATTTTTGGAGGTTGTAGAATCCAATCCTAAAAGGGATAAGGGTTTTAGCCAGCCATTTTTTATTTTTTTATCTTACACTTCCCAATTACAAACAGGCTTCCTAAATCCATGACCTGAGTACATATACATGGGCAAAGGTATTGAAAATCCATACCTATGCAATCAGGAAACCACCTAAACCCATGATTATTAGATTTAGAGCCACTCTCAAGCCATGGTTATGGTGCCCAGAGCCCACCTTGGGGTCTTTAATGGGGAAAATAACATCCCCTTGATGAAAAAAGAGTATGCACAGCCATGAAAAAGAAGCCTCAGAGTCACACCATTTCAACCTGCTAGGGATCAAAAAAACCCAATTTTTTATTTATTTTTCAAGTCTGAAATTACAAACAGCTGGGAAATCCTGTACAGTGGATGCCTTGCACAACTGTAGGTAAGTTTTTAAATTGAAGAAAGAAGAACTCCTAATGCTCAGTATGTAAAAGCTCAGTATATAAAAAGAGGTAAAGAATGCATTGTGGCACTTCATTCAGATCAAAGTATCACATTGTCAGAATCTTGAGACAAAATAAAACCAAACCACAAAAAAGTTCAAGCAGTGCAATTTTCAGAGTATCTGAAAATATATAGTAAATGAGAATTATTTTTTAGTGATTGTATGGCCTAATTTTATTCTTAAATCTATTTAAGTAATAAAACTACACTCCATAAAAACAATCCAACAACAACATAAAGAGCCCATTGGTTATCATTTTGCATCCCAGATGGAGAGCCGTAGCCTTGACTCATTGAGCAATTAGCTTGTCCAAATACTGAACCTTGGCTCATTGGAGAAATTGGGAATTCCATTGCCGGATGATTCATTGACCCAGGTTGCATTGATTGTGTTGGTGGTGGTCCATGGTGTTGATACATTTTTCCCATTGGTGGTGGTGGCTGAGTAAACTGAAGACTAGATCCCATTGATGACAAACATGATCCTCTGGAACATTCTGGAAAACCACCATAAGGGGATGGAGGAACAGGTGGACTCAATGATCCTCCACGATCAGGAGGGGGATTTGGAAAGCCATACGGCCCTGAGTCTGTTGGAAGACCACGTCCATATTTGGGAGCCCTGCCAGACCGTGGCTTCTCATTTGTGTCTTCGGCAAGGCATTTGGGACATTTCTTGTCGTTCTCTGGCATTCCGCTCACAGCTTGGTAAATACAAGTGCTGTGGAACCTGTGCATACAGGGACTACAATGAGATAATCTGTCCCAATAAGTTGTCATCTTTTGACCGCAGAGCCAGCATTTTTCTGCATTTTGGTTCTGAAGTCATATGTATAATTCAGTTAATTATCAGATGGTGTGATTATCTCAGCGTGATGCTCAGATCCATAACACAACTAATCACTTACTTTAAACATAGTATCCTTTATATGCTGACCGAGTTTTGAACTTGGCTCCCTACGGGCGTAACGGGACCTGCCCAATGTTTGCATGACTCTTCAACTGGTGTTGCTGATACATAAGTTGGTTGGCTTGCCAACAGATGGAAAACCTTTTTTAGAGAAAGTAGATGCAATCATCAGTGTCAATAGACCTTGTGACTGACAAAAA